GAAATAAATCTTTTGGGTTTTGCTTGTTGTGCAGCATAACCCCGCCTATCCTGTCTAATAATAACAGCTAGAAATGTCTTCAAGGAACCCAACATCCCAGAAAACCTGGTTTACAAAGTGCTAATCTGGTCCAATCAGAAGTAGAAGTGCAGTTTAGTTGACTAAGCTAGTTTCCTTCTAAAATCCAGGCTGAGTGTAGTGGCTCACACCTATAATCTCAGCAATTTGGAAGGCTGAGGCAGGAGGATTGCTTAAGCCCAGGAGTTGAAGATCAGCCTAGGAAATCATGAGACCCTCATCTCTACAAAAAAAATAAAAATAAAAATAAAAAAGTTAGCGGGGTGTAGTAGCATGCACTTGTAGTCGCAGCTACTCGGGAGGCTGAGGCAGGAGGACTGTTGAGTCTGGAGTTCAAGATCAGCCTGGAAAACAGTGAGACCCCCCCTCTCTACAAAAAAAAAAAAAAATTTAATTAACTTTTCATTCTTTTTTTTTTTTTTTTTTTTTTTTTTTAAATTAAAACCTCCTCAGGAAGCTGAGGCAGGAGGATTGCTTGAGCCCAGGAGGTCAAGGCTGCAGTGAGCTGTGATTGCACCACTGCACTCCAGCCTGAGCCACAAAGCAAGACTCTGCCTCAAAAAAAAAAAAAAAAAAAAAAATTAAAAATTAAAAAAATAAAAACCAACCCAAATTTCACTGGCCTTGGGGTGGGGAGACTGGATCTTCCCTTTGGAGTCATCCACTTATTAGTTTGGGACACCCTGTGGGGGGCCCTTAAACGTTTGTCACCTTCCTAGGGGGTGAGCACCCTGAGGTGAGGCGCTCATCTCGTTGCCTGTCTCCCAGCACCTGCCCTCTGAGGAGTGAAGTTGAATCGGTGAAAAGAGCCTGGAAGGGCATTCCCCAGGCAGAGGTCCACTCAGGAAGCAGGGTGACTCTGGGGAGAGGCTCTGAGCTGCTGGTGGGACTGCAGGAGCTGGAGAGGGTGTGTGAGAGGGAGTCTGGAGGCAGAGGAAGGTGCTGGAGTGTAGCAGGGCCTCAGCTTGTCCAGCAGCAACGTGGGGCCGCTCAGGAAGCAGGGTGACTCCAGGGAGAGGCTCTGAGCTGCTGACAGGGCTGAAGGGGCTGAAGGGGATGTCCTGGTGGGGGAGGCTTGGAGGCACAGGAAGGTGCTGGGAATGTGGTGGGTCCTCAGCATGCCCAGCAGCAATGTGGACGGCAGATGAGCCCTGAGGCTGAAAACAGGCCTCGGCCTCCCAAGGGAAGCTGCTGCAGCAGCCCAGATAGAAAGTACCAGGACTGACCCTGGCAGTGGTGGGCTGGGGACAAGTGGTCATTTCCAGAGATGACAGCAAAGGCAGCACTGGGACCAGCTGGAGATGGGGTGAGGGGCCTCCCTGAGTCCCCAGCCAGGCTAGGGTGGCTTGGGAGCTGCAGAGCTGAGGTGCTGTGAACTGGAGGGCTTGATGTTGCCGGGCTGCTGGTGTTGAGTGGAGCCGGAAGGTGGGTAGGTGGCTCCAAAGCCCACCAGAGTCAGAGACGGAGAGGTCATCAGGGGGCGTGCAGCCTTCCCAGAGGTGGCTGTGCACACTCAGCCGAGTGGCTGCAGCTAGGCCTTGGTGACAAGGTTGGTGCCCAGGATGGAGACAGGGTGCCTGAGAGTCTGGGGTTGAGGAAGGAGGAGGATTCTAGGAGGGTCCAGTCCACAGTGCCTAGGAAAGAGCCCCTGTGCTGCAGCAGGGCCATCCAGGGAGCGAGGTCACAACCCCCCAGGGAGGACTGTCCTAGATGAGCTCGGCTGTGAGGGAAGCAGGGGACACAGTGCTCCTTGGAAAGGATGTAGATGGGGAGAGTGCTTTAAGAATCATGTTTATTAGGAGTTATTTTCTCATGCTGAAAGAAATACATACTATTCACCACAGAGACTTGGCCAACACGTATAAACACAACAAATAAAATGCAATTGCAAATAACAGCCTAATGATAACTGCCGTAAGGGTTTGATATATATCCTTACCATCTTTTTTTTTTTTTTTTTTTTTTTTTGAGA